TGTATATATATGTATGTATATATATATGTATATATATGTATGTATATATATATGTATATATATGTATATGTATATATATGTATATATATGTATGAAAAGGTTAATAACTTTTAAGAAAATCGTATTTCTCAAATCACCAAATTATATTGATTATGTGATTATTTTGATAGAACTTGCACTGTATACAATTTAAGAGAATTGTCGTATCACTTCTTTATTTATCCCAAAGGCTTTCACAGTAACTAATCGGCATCATCAATAATTGCAATGACTGACATCTATCTGATTGAAGTGACAGATAGCCAATGTGTTCGTCTAAAATATGAGGGGCGGACTGGCATTCGGTTTATGGGATGAATATTTCATGATATTATCAACTACATAAAAATAAATTCTGTTTATCAAAATCAGGACGTTAACCCGGGTAAATCCCACTTTTACAAAAATTTTTAAAAATCCCCATGCGTTTTTAAAGAGCAGCTTCTTTAATATGGGACGCCAAAAGCGCAAACATAAGATAGCCTACTTCATTTTCGATGTTTTGTCTTTAAAACGGTGGCGTATCCAGAGGGGTGCGCGGGTGCAGTCTCCATTCTTCTTTTGAAATTGTCACACTAGAGCTATTGAACGAGTATAAAAACGCGAGAATTTCTATTTGCCTATTCCATACTCTACAGTGTACATTCGGTTTAAAAACAAGGAGGTATATAAACACCAAAACTGGTGACGTCATAAACAAAAATATGCACTTTTTTGGTAAAGACGGTGGCTCGTTCCTTCCAGAACTAGATAATGGTTTTTTAACTTGTATTTGAAGTTTAGTTTATGATTTTAAAAAATCGGACAAAATCTGAGACATTGAAAGTTGAAAGATTACAGGACTATATTATTACAATATATGCACAATGCGTCCTACGCCGGTATTTACCGGCGTAATAATAATAATTATTATTTTAAGTTCATGCCCAGGTTCCGGCGTCTGTGATTGGACAAAGTTTTCAGCCTGGAGAGGCCTAAGCAGGGCTGCATGCCTAGGCCCCCCAGGCCTAAGTTATTAATTATACAGGTATGTATTGATCTTAACTACAGTATTAAACAAAACAACGTATTGATTTGTAGGCCTAGTATATTTAAATATAATTTTCATAATACGGAATTTTGTTTTGGTAAGGAGGAGGGCCGCATCTCCAACAGCAGCAACAGGCACTTCGCCTACTTCTGCACTAAGGCCTAGGCCGTACACCTCTAGCCTAGGCCTGGTCCTACCTACTAGGCCTAGTAGGCCTACTACTACTGCTACGTAGGGCCGCAGCCTATATACATAGACTAGGCCTTAGCCTAGCTAGTAGTAGGCGCAGGCTGAGCTCTATAGTTAGGCTGGCCTAGTTGGCCCTAGCCCCTACCACCTAGGTAGGAGGATTTTTTTAGGCTAGGCCTAGCGTTGAATGAATAGCATAGGATGGTAAGAAGAGTGGCTAGGAGGCCCACACCCGGGCCTAACCTAGGATAAAATAAATAAATAAATAGGACCGACACGACAGGTATTTATTTAATAACTCTGCTATATATCTTTAATTAATTAAGGATCATTTATATGTAGCCTAGTAGTAGTACTGTTGTACAGTTCACCCTCCAATCCGAGAACCCTCTAATTCGAGACCAACTAATCATCTACTGAGACCTATTTAGGCCTAATTCAAAACCGTGACAACATTTTTTAAAGCTCGAAGTGACAAAATGACCTGTACTACAAGACCACAAAAAAATAACCAGACAAGTTTTAAACAACAAATTCACCGTTAATAACCATCAATGAGTATTCAAAAATGAATGTAAAGGTTCATTTAACATAATTATCTCATGTTTTTTAACAATGATATGACAATTGCTTTCATAGCTGATATTCGGATGAGTCCATCCAATGGAAGAAGCGCATTTTTGCTGTTTTAGTAGGCATAAGGCATATTGTTAAAAATGTTTCAGACAGTCGCACCGGGCTGGGTAATAAGAGAAAAGAAAGAGGGGAGAGGGAGGGGAAACGAAAAGAAAAGGAAAAAGGAAAAGAAAAAGAGAAGAGAAAAATAAAGACAAGAATAAAAAGGAAGATATCATAATGACCAGACTCGCTACAACCTGCAACCCCTTTTAAACTTCAAAAAGTATCCATAGCTCCTTTGATCTAATCTGCCAGATATTCTCCGTAGTGGCGTAACCACCGGGGGACAAGGGGAAAATATCCATCTGTGGAAAATCTTTCCCCACCCCTTGAAAATTCCCTTTTCACCCCCTTTAAAGTGCCTAAAAATCTCGAATGTTGCGCTCTTCGCGGGCATTTCTTGTTATAGTAGGCTAATTTCCTCTAAAAATTGCACATTTTAGAAAGTTTTGATCAATTTCGACGAAATTAGAAAATAAAGCACATACATTTTTTGCTCATTTTTTAAGGGTTAGCCTTCTAAGTTATTTGAAGACATAATAGTCCCAAACTCAAGAAAGAAAATTTAAGATAGATCGTTTTACCTAAAAGAAGGGCCTCAATGTGTAATGGTGGTGAAAGAATATGTTTGTAATAAATAAAGCATAATGAAAATGCTTATATTCAGTTTCAAAAAAACGTGTTTGGCCATATATAACATAAAACCTAAGCTCAAAAAAATTTTTTCGAGGGTGAGGACTTGTGCTTGTCCTCCTTTTGCCTTCTAATTTAAATAAAACCATAATAGTCCCGACTCAAATAGAAAGAACATTTAATATAGATCGTTTTAATAACTAAAAGAATGGCCTCAATGTGAATATGTTTGTGATAAATAAAACCATGATGAAAAAGTTTCGAACACACGTTTGTGGCCTATATTATAAATAAGATAAGCTCTATGTCGTATTGTTTTCTATATGGGGGGGGTGGTGGGGTGGGGTGGGTATGATAAATTACTAACTGGGAAAATTATTACCTTTGCCCCCCTGAACCAAGACCCCTGTTACGCGCCTGGATTTAATTGCTTCTTGCACGGTTGCCCATTAAAACATAGCCCTGTTTGGTACCGTACTATACCTCCTGTACACTTATACTTGTATCCCTCAATATTTCTTTTCGTTTAAATTACAGCATTTGTAGAATTTGTTGGCCTCATCAGATGAAACTAGCTATATTGGGACTGCATTTTAGTCCTTGTGATTTGCACAAGATTCAAGATATTGTTGTAATGCATAATATACAAACTTTGGTTGTTGCTAAAACATTTAACTACATTAACATATCCAGTTGCTAAACACTGTTGCTTAAAATAAATGTGGGTGTGACTTCCACAAAAGAGAGAACATAAACTTTGTAGACCACTTGCAGTTTTGGTCTTCACTTTAAAGGTCTTAAGATTATTTGCCCTCTAATTAGAGTGATTTTGGAGACCACTGTTTAGATATATGGTTTAAATTTAGAAGATTTCGGTTTTAATTACTCACTAATTATGCTGTTTAGAGACGAGTCATGGGTCTCCATTTACAGGTTTCTAATATTGGAGATAACCATTCCAAAATTTTAAGGTACAAAGGTGGTCTCGAATTGTACAGGGCTTATAAATATTGGTGAGAATTTGGCTCGGTCGGTGTATATCACAAATATTAGTTAAACCTATGTAAACATACAGAGACATGTGTTGGCTTTAGCAGTGATAAATATCGTTTAATCACTGATTAGACGATATTTCAGTATAAAATAAATATACAATACTGTGTACTGTATGTAATTAAATAGTAGAACAACCTCTGCTTGCTGGTGTGAACGAAGCTTTGGCCAGCGTGCGCATCTATAATTTAAAGCTAGCTGCACGCTACATACCCCACCTCCATGCAGTCATACTTTGGTGTTCATTTTAACAGGAATGAATGTAGACCCGTAATGAATCATTCACAAGAGAACCAACAAGTAATAGGCCTATCATTCATCAAATAATGATATTGATTCATTGGTGATAAGTTACCCAGTGCCCCGGAGTAAATGGTGCATTTGGAAAACATTTATGCTTCTTGGTTTGTAGGCCAACGCTGCCAGATGCGATACGCCTCTAGCTGAAAACGAACAGTATCACCCTAAGGTTGTGTAACAACTTGCAATGCCCCTTTCTCTTTCTGGGATGACAGAGCAGCCAACTGAATTTCAGTATGCAAATTTCAGTATGCAACTGTGTATTGGGTTCGCATTTCATCCATTTCGTGTTAAGTACTGTAGATAAATTATATAAAAATATCACTGATAAAAATCATAAAAAGGGAAGATTGGTTTGCCCTAATCACTGCATGGGCCAGCCTTTCATTTCGCCCTATGTGGGCGCAATTGTCGCCCGTCGCGCGCGCATCGTTACTTTGTGGTCTCTATATAATGGAATCGCGTCGGCTTACGATAGGATGATGCGCATGTAGTATGTGCGTGCCCGGATTTAGACCTATGTTACGGCAAAGGCGGAAATATTGCACACAGGGGAAATCAGGAACGCTGTCCTGTCTGTTTTGTTGTTGTCCTCTTCTCCTGGTATTTCTTTTTGTCTCCGA